CATATGGCTGAACAAATATGCATTGGAAGGAAGTGAAGATGGATTGGTCATACACTGAGAAGGCCGACTGGGACATCACGCGTCAGGTCCTCGAGTGGAACCCAGATGGGAAGCGACGAGTTGCGCGTCCGAGCTGAGGGTGATATGAGGGAGATTGTGCGAGGAGGTAATGAGAGTTTGTGGGCTGTCGTAGAGCCAGGTTCGAAATATTGCAGAGAGCAGCGTGGAATGGAGGCGTGCTACTGAAGCCTTATGTTCCATTACGAACCCAAGGAACAAATAATAATAATAATAACTTTAGTGAAATTTATCACTTAGCAACCAGCAGAAATTAGAGTGATATCAAATATAATAAAGGAGATTTTTTACGGGCAGGGAAATAGTATAGTTCAGTTTGGAGATTTCTGGGGATTTATCGATTTCATGTTGGTATTCATCATGAATGATATGAATTAGAGAACCACTGAAAACCTGGAAGCACAAGACAGCTGCTTCGTCCTAACGTGAGGACGTACTGCAGTGAGCACCGATGACGCCTCTGAGGATCAAACCCAGGATCTCCAGGTTTCACGGCGACCATTGAGCCAATCGATAGAATGGAATCCAATGGTTCACATTTTTCTACTTCTTTCTGTCAACTCACGATATAGCACGACCTTCGAGATGAGATTTCCCGACGTTCTGATGAGAAGTCATAACCGATGGGTGAAACCAAGTCGGACATGACGACAAGTACTCAATGATGTTCTCTATCGATTTCAGCTAATAATAACTGAATACTTACATATTTACCCATCCTCTGTAGTAACTAACACCTTCTCTTCGCTAGTATCATACCCCACATGCATAATTGTTTTGGGGAAGGCAACAGTCACACTTCTGGTCATCCAACGGAAATATCTCACTGCTGTCACACCCTATTCAGCTAATAGCAGTACGACCTCGTCCTCAGACTACCATAGTGGTGTAACAATTTACGCTACAACGGTAAGGGCTTTCCGTCTAATCACTATCCAACAGACCTTTCTGGTATGGTGGGACCTCTAGTGAACAAGTATCCCACCAGAATAGCTCGTTGAGTCATTGTGAAGTGGAAACCCAACCATCACATCTAGATAGCCGTAATCGGTAAGGCATTCCTACTTCGCTATAGATGTACTAACTGACATAACCTAACATACGTCTGACTTCACATGGATTGATCTACTCCCTGGATGTCATCTGGTTGATTTAAAGTATGCAGACGATATTATCCTGTTAGATCAAGATGCTGGCAAAATGTAAGGTCTTCTGGGGGTATTTAGGGCCTGTGAAACGCATGATGCTCCAGGACTGGCCTGAAAATGTTTTGACCAGTTCACTTACTTGGGGAATTGTATCAGCCCGAACGGAGTGGTTGCTCATGAAATATCAGGTCGGTTGCAGAAGGCCCGTTTGGTATTTGCCAACTTGCGTCGTCTTTGGCACAGACTGGGAAGATATCCGACTAACTGTGAAAGGGCCAGTATACTACGCTGTAGTCTGTTCTGTCCTGTTTTACGACTGTGAAATATAGGTGTTAAAAGTGGGAGACATGAAGCGGTAAAAAAAAAACTCAGTAGGTGAAGAGGGTTTCGAGTTCGCAACCCATCAGTGGAAAGTCAAGTGCCTTAACCACTGGAGCATAGCTCCAAACTTTCAATCTGTTCAGTAACTGAACTATGAGACTTTAAGCCTCCTCATTTGAGCTACTGGGAGAGGCAAATAGACAGCACGCTGCAACTGATTCGCATCTGATTATTCACTGAGAAACATGGCTTGAAACAGTTAAGGCTTTTACCGATGTCTTCATACATTTTATTCAATGAATAGAGACTTGTACTTTTGAAGTAATCACGTGTTAAATACCGTTCGGATTAGGATGGCAAACTGTTAAGAAAGGGAAATACGGCCAAATAAAAGATAAAAATTTTTAAAAAACGGTTATAGAATGATGTTAAGGTACATCGACAGTGAGAAATTCGCATTCTTTTAGCGCGAGAAAGATTAGTAGCCGTAACTACTTTCTAACCAATCAGACAAATACTTCACTCTATCAGTTGACAGTTGATTGGTTGAAAGGAATGATCGTATATTTCATCGGTTGTTTCTGATTGGTGGTTACGACGATGGCTATTTGATCGACACTCAATCAAGTCACTGGCGTATAGATTTCCATATCGTGTGAGTAATTATAAACTTCTGGTCCAATGGTGCATTTACCTCATATGAATCTGACACATGATCGTCATAATTGGGTTTCCCATTATTTTTGTATTCTGTTTGAGTTGTGATCACGTGGTACCATTTCATTTTCAACCTAATGGCTTTCCTTTAAGTGGTCTGTTAAAATCTGATGTATATTCCATCAATAGCAAATGTTAGTTTAATTTGCATGGGGATGAAGTGTTACTTTAACAAGAATGAATTTAACACATTATCGGACAGTCTGCTTTGATGAGTTGGAAAGCGTAAATAGGTAATAAATGAGGAAAGAGATGTCAGTAATATTCAAACTGATTTCCCATGGTCATAAGTTACTGCTCAACATAAGTTTTGTCCTCGTTGGCATTCGTCAGCAAGGCTTATTTGCAACCTCAAGGGGACTGATGTTCACTGAAATGCCGAGAGCACTAGACAGCTATTCCACTTTGTATGGGACACCTCGGTGATGTGCACCCACCGTCTCGCGTGGAATCGAGCCTACGGCCATCGGGTCTAATGACGATAACGTCATTGCCCGATGGTCTACGTATTTTTATTCCTGATAATCTGTGAGTTAGCACGACCAACATCCAGTGGCATGTCTGCAAGTATTTTTCCTCACACCCGACTCCGTCGGAACCACAAGTTGCTTCCTGAAGTCTTAATGGGAATCAGGCAGCTTTCAGATTGATCATCAGCGTATCGACCAGATTTTTACGCTTTCCAAAAAATTTTAAACATAGACCCAATTACTGTTGGCTAACAATATCTCTATATCATGCTTGACCTGAAGCTGATGTTCAATCTTGTCGATCTAGAAGTCTTAAAGCGAAGGTCGTCACCGAAAGGTGTGTTGAAATCAGTAAAAACCCTATAGTGAGGTATCCGGTGAGCTACGTACTTCCAGTGGTGCCCGTCGAAAACGTCCACTGTCTCCATTCTTATTTAATCCTGTCATAAACACACTCATGGAATTCTCCCGCTCTTTGTCTTACTTTACAGGGACTGACCTTGACACGGGAGATTCCTTAGTAGAACTAGAATATGAAGATTTTACAGTCCTGGAAAGTGAAGATATTGACAAGATGCTAAGTCTCCTTGAGAATGTATAGTATACGCTTCTCACCATTCAAATACAAATTGTTGCTTCAGGACTGGTCTGCAGCATTCGATAGTAGGGATTAAAGTGGCTACGCACATTGACCGACTCGCCTATACGGGAAGCTTGATGAGACCTGATGAGTCAATGGCCGATAAAATCTGACAACGAAAACAATAGACTCTATTATTTTCTCCAACTCACACCATTTGTCGCGTCACCTTGATATCCGATTGCCTAATAAGGGCTGAACGCACTCCACTGCAGTTCGCTTTTTTTATTATATGATAGTTAAATACAGTTATCAAAGCTGGAGAACGTACGAAGACTACCATCGTTCGACCACCATTGCCTTCGACTCATAGTGATAAAGCACACATTTTCCCCTAAAAAAGGTAGGTCAGTTGGTGAGGTCATGAATCTTCATCAACTGGAGTGGCTGTGACATGAGTTCTACAAACGTGAAAAGGTGTCAAAGTTAACTGAAGGCTGAAGAGTAACTAAGTGAAAACGCGACATCAGTTCATAAAGTCTCTGTTGTTGGGATGATTTAAAATATTATCCATACTATTCACCACATGTTTCGCTAAAAAAGTTACAATGCTCAATAATGCCTTCATACATACAACCAAATACTCAGTAACTTATATATTTAAAATGGCGGCTTTTTAAGAAATTAAATCAACTACCGCTTTACGCGATAATATAAAACAGGTCTCTATTGGCAGTCTTAATGCAGAACAACTCAAGAAACAGTAATTTAAACACCAGATTTTTCCATATTAAAAATTAGCCGTAGAAAACATTAGTCAAGGTTTTGCGTAATACAGGCTTAAAACTCTCAGGTGTCAAATAAAATGCAGTCGAAAAAAAAGGGAAACGAATAGGTAAACAGATTTACATGCTATACAAAAATCAGTGAAGTAGGCGGACAATTTTCAGTGGTAGGTGAAAATTGAAGAAAAATGAAACAGAATTACAGTCTCCTTAGTCAACTACCTCTTCAAAGGTTAAGGTAGAAATTTAGCCCACTAGTCAGTTAAAACAAAAATCCCACTGATAACCAACATTATGTACTTGTAAGTAAGTAAACACCGAGAAGGGCAACAGAGCACACAGCCAGAGTGCTGAATTCATTGAATTACCAAATACGGATTGAACACACAGTCAAGTCAACCAAAGTATAAAAAAATAGGTTGATAATCAACCAATCACGAAGTAGAACCAGTGAGTGATTCACTTAAGCAATATCAACCAATCAGAATATAAATATACACTGAAAAATCTACCAATCAATTGAAGACATGTGAGGTTCAAGTAGACGAATATTACAGAGGACATATTCTTAAAGGATTATTTTCATGGGTTGCTATTATACTGTAACCGACGTTTAGTAAAACATGGAAGCACCCACTGTATAACGCATTAAAAAATAAACATTAGGTACGGTGTGATGCTATGAGGTAGAAGATGGGAAGAAAAAGAGGAGATATTCAACCAATAAACAGAAGAGCTTGTTTCCTTTTCTTTTCTTCAATGTTCAACATGATGAGACAGTAAAACAAACGGAAAGTGAAGTCGAACACAACAATAGTAATTTACAAGCAAACCAGCATGGGACACATAAAAGATCATCAAAAATTGTAGAAATGATATGATGTTTACAACGCATAGTCAGTCATTCATTCACTGGAGCTGTTGGAGTTGTACTACAAGAGTTACAAGAAGAAGAAGAAGCAGCAGCAGCAAAAACTGCGTTCAAATCAACGTTACTAGAGCAAAATGAACCACGTCTTGATGTAGTAGTTGAGTTTGGTGTTGGGCGTCTACGTGAATGACAGACATGATTACGTGAATACTGACTTAATGCACCTTGCCAAAATCTTGCAACAGCCGCATTTTCTGGAGATGAACAACCGATCGATGCGAGTACACCTGCCCATCGGCGAGTCGCTTCATCACCACTTAGAGAGGAACCCTTAACGAGGACAGAGGGGAAATAAAAAAAATATTTATGATGAATGAAGAAAAGACTAGGTGAGGAAGAGAAAGGCACTTTTTCTTAGGCTGTTTATACGCCAATGTCCTACCTAAATTTCTAAATATTGACGTCTTAAAGCATAATTCAGTAAAGATGAATGCAGATCGATTAATAGCTCCATCTTACAAAATTTAATGGACAGGGGAAACACGGTTTTAGGAGATTAGTTTATTGTAGCCTACAGAATACAACGTGATCTGACAGAGTGTCATGAAATGTTTACTTAACAATGCTGAAACCCCTTTCCATCTGCTTTAACCTGTCCAACCAACAAGCATCATAAACCGTCAGATAAAAATGTATGAGGAAGCTTAGAAAAGAAATCTATGCTAAGGTTGCTTTGCACGATTCAGTGCTTTAATTAACTTGTGGATCATATTTGATGCACAAAGGTCAATGATCCTCTAGGATAAGATTCTTAGTCCTCATGGCTTAGGGAACGACTGAAAACTTGAGAGCATTGAGCAAATATTTCGTCCTAGTTTGTGACTCCATAGCAGTGAGTACCCACAACCCCGCGAGGGGTCGAACGCAAGACCTTAAGATCTGGTGGTTGAGTTAGATCGTCAGATATTCGTTTCAGTATGGTAAATGAGATAATTAAAAAATAACAATAAATTCTTGGTCGTATTGCGTTCCCTGAGCTGGGTTGTTTAATCGTGAAGCTTTCATCGTCTTTCTAGACGATAGCATTAACACTGATTTCAGTATGACTTCATACTGAAATTAGTGCTAATAATGTTGTCTAGAAAGACGATGAAAGCTTCACGATCAAACAACCCAGCTCAGGGAACATAATTCAACCAAGACCATCCAACTGAGCTACAAATATTCTCCACTACTTCAATAACAATAAATTATTCAGACTGGGTTTTAATAAATATGAAAATATTTTTAATAGACTCCTTCTTTGGCTTACTTGACAACGCTTAAATGAATACAAGAGACGTGCACGATTAATCCAGTCATGTCGTATAGTGTTTAATGCAGTATCACAAACATCAATTGGAAACGGTGGATTAATACTGAACAATCTTATAATCTGGTCAACATAACTTGATACTGGAATACGTCCAGTTAAAAGGTGACGTGCAGCTGAAGATGGATGACTACCAGCAGTCGATGGATAGGTACAATGATGACTGAGTTGATTGAAAAAGGTTTTCTTGAACGATATTATCTCTGGATCAAATGATGGTAGTGTTGAACATAACCTAAAGTATAACTTGTAAGCGAAAAGAGAAGAGAAAGTCAAAGAAAGGTTTAGAAAACTGACATAGGTGAACAATGACAGATAAGATGGTCAATCAATCAGTCAATATCAATTTAGGATTCGTATGACAGTCAAAGTTTTGGCTTTTCCCCTAACCTATTTCCTACATCAGTTAAGATAACAAGTCGAGGTAGGTTGTAGCTACTCAGTGTGCTTAATACACATTCAAATCAACTCTCTCGATGGATGAAATATAACTCGGTGACCACATGAAAATTTCTAAACTAGGCAATGAACCATAATTGGTATGTAATGCCCGGTTGTGTTGTGTTCCCTCAGCTGGATGGTTCAACCGTAAAGCTTTCATTTTCCTTCTAAAAAACATCCTCATCAGCACTAAAATCAATATGAAGTGAGTTGTCAATATCTTTCCTGACGAACTGGTTTGTGATTGGTTGTTTCAATTAACTGTTTTGTCCCTGGATTGAGTAAGAATTGAACCCGTGACTCCCTGATTAAACATTAACTGCTTAGGAGGTTCACAAATGTATCAAAAAACTTGCTTCATTTACCCAAGAGCCTACGATTAACCATTACATTGTTCACATTGATAAAATGGATACGATTGGGGATTGTCATTAATTTAGTTGTTTCATATCCAAACCCCATCCCCATCTGTAGGTAGTATCAGTGATCCGCACAAAGTGCGTGTAGTCCATAACTTTGTAAATAAAATTGGATAACGCTTTGGTGTTTGAAGCGATGGGTATTAAGTTTGATTCCCAGTGGAAACAATATCACACATTAGGGTGAGGGTATATCCAGCTAACCAGTATCAAGTACGACGAAACGCGTACGACCTGTATCCCACTGCTAGCCACCACCAAGTAAAAGATAATGTAGTGAATCTCCAAGCAACATCGAAACAGTCCTTCAAGGAGCCCATGTGCTCAGAGTAACTGACCGCAATGCAGTTCAAGCATGAAGTACATTTAGGTAAGTGTTACTGGTGACATTATTATTAGTGCAGCCCAACCGACAATGATCTTGTAATGATTATCATATGTAGCATGACACACTGAGGTGTTTTATAAAACCTTATTGCAACGATAATAATCTATCGGAAATTAGATGCCGAGATTTGACTAATAGCTACATACCATTATTTGTTAGGTGTAGGATATGAAAATCATGACTAGAACCAGTGACTGACTTGTGGATACATAATTCACGCTAAAATGACGTTCAGCTTGAAGTAAAAGATATATAATGGCTGATTGACTGACTGCATACCGCTAGAAAGACTGTGTTTCTGTCGATTCACCCTACTGATAGGAACTAATTGGTTCATGGAAATGGGATATTATAATTCAATAGCTTCTGTGCATAAACTGTGATTGTAAAAGTGCATTATTCACTTCTACAGTCATATATACTAGGTTATCACCCTGTGCTGCAGTCACAGATGTTGACCACTGACAGTAACTAAGTTCATATTGTCCAGTCCTATTCATTATTCATTAAAGTGGTTACCAAGCTGAGAGGCTTATCATCATCGCGCACTCTGATTAGTTGCAGGTGGTTGGAATCAAGCAACGGGAGTTTCTGTTCGACCTACTTTTCATGCATGTTAGAAATCATCACCAAAGATCTGATCCTACATCACACAGTGTCTCTAACTGCAATACTACGTAGGTTCAGATCTCTAGGTTGCAGAATACGTCTTGCCAACGACTGCAAACAGACACGAAAACTAGGTTCATGACTTTATGATGATTGCTTCCAATCCTTGAACAGATTAATAATCATCATCACTATAATCATTGTACTATGGTTAAACTGATCCATCATCTTCCTATAAACAAAGATAATCATACATACATACTGTATAATTGCACTTACACTATTCACATAACACTGGAGATCCGATTGTTTGTCCTGTTCATCATTCAATGTTGCAGATGATTTTCCTGTTGGCTTAGGACAACAAAAACAACAACGATATACAGCTAAATAGAGGACATCATCAGATATAGTAATATCTTCTTTAGAAATGGATACATGAACTGATAGACTGAGGAGGTTACATCGAAACGGTGCCAAATATTCAGCACTTCCTACCACCTAGTTTCAAAATGAAAAAGAAGCAAAATTAAGCAAAGAAAAAGGAAACAATCACGACCTGATTGATATTTGCAAATAAGGCGAATATTTCACTGCTTAATAGTATCAAGTAATAATATTTGCGGGAAGTTTGAGCACTCTTGATATTAAGAATGAGTTATAGTTTTTAAACCTTTAGCTCTGGTTCCCTGGCAAACACATCAATGTTGTTTGTAATCACTCTAACTTCACAAAACAAAACAGCAAGCTGAATGTTGTATGCACTTAGGTATTTCAAGGAATGCGCCTACACTATCAAGACAAGCAGTAAAATGAAACCTAAGCATCTCTACTATCCAAAGTCAGTCGTCAAATAGTCAACTTCGATATATGCCTCCCTTTAAGCATACACTTAAACACAGGCTATGAAGGGATGATCCAGTCAACGAATAATCTGGAATGTTGCAATAATTATTTAACATTTACTTGTCACAACGAACTGAAGAAATTGAAATATGAATCTCAGTGATATTATCTAGTTTACTTTACAAGAAATTTTGTTTCAACCAAACTTTAGTGACGTCCAATCACGTTTAAATGTGCACTGACCAATCAGAATCAAGAATATGAAGGAGAAAGTAGTTATTAAGGGAAATAGTACCTTATTTACAGTTTATTAATCTGTTTTACATGCGAAACAAAGATGTCCACATTTTGAATAGGTCCATCACCTTTGAAACCGTACCATTGTGTATATTGCCACTAATCCATGTAAGACAATATCATTCCAATGGTATTTGGGACATTTTCCATCGTGATCCCCTTAAACACCTTGTTTGTGTGCATTCCAGTAGTTAGACCAACAAAGTGCCTCTTGTGAACAAAAGCTTGATGGGAGTAACCCATTTCAAATGCAGGCATATATGACTTCCAAGTATATGTGTGTATTATGGCATGCGTTTTGGTATAACTGTTACGATAGATTTTTGTGGTCCATCCTTTATCTACTGAAAATATCCTTTCTTTGTATATTGGTCGTATATACCAAGAATCTGTTGTTTGCCAAGCATGTGGATGTATACATACACTGAGTAAGTTATAACTTACCCAGTCCTGTTTAAGTCATCTTTCTAGGTAATATTTAAGTTTCGAAACAAGACATTCATCTATTTCAACCAACCCACCAAATTTCACATGCAACCTGCAACGTAAACTTCGATATAGCTCATCGAAGGTTTATGCAGCGTCAACAACACGGTAGATGGACGTAACGAACAACTTGAATAAATCATCTCCAACCTGATTGATTGTCCTCAAGGTTTTCCGTTACTAAAGTTTAGTTGGTTTAAGCCATGTAGGACGATGCAGACTAGGTGGTTGGGGTCCACGGGATAAGAGGAACCAGTGGTTGGAGACCCTAGGTGATATGGCTCAGAACTGAAGTCAGTGGCGCAGATGTATACACACATTATCCTCATCTTAACAACGCTATACCAAATCTCACCATTTTAGTCACTCCTCTTTCCTTTCTTCTCGTACTTTATATTTCTTTTGACTGCATTCACTTATCTTCATCCTTCACCTCACTACCTTTTTACTGATGTGCTGATATGAGGTATGGCAACTCGGACCGTTACGCAGTAATGCCTGGTCCTATGTTGATAATGATGATGATGAGTCGAACCGAAATTTTACTCAAAACTTATTGCATGGCTCTATTCGAGAACTTTTTATTGTGACTGAATTCTCACTCAGCTTCGTAAGAGTCATGGTTGCAAAATAATTCCATAACAGCTAAGTGAAAACGACTATTGTACTGTAGCCCAATTTCTCTCTTTGGGAAACCAGTTATTTCCTGTCAATGAATTATGAAGCATTATGGTCATGTGTAATTCAGTTGTATACATAGACAGATAACTCATAGAATGTGTGCAATGATTGTGAACGATTAGTCTTTGTCTGCTATTTTACAGTGGGCGAGAGAAAAAAGACTGCTGTTAGTCAAAAGATTGCAAACAACAGATCAGTTTATGTTTAGTTCACTTGCTGACTGTTAGGTGTGTGGATGAAGCGTAGACAAATGAAGCGATATTCTGAAAGTGATAATCATATGACAAAAATAATACTCATATACCAAGGCATATCAGTCTTTAATTGTTGTTAGAAACAGTCCTGAAAATTCTCATTTACATGACAAATAAGTGAAGTTGTTGATACCATTGTTCATGACTGTTCCCAGCAGGTCGTTGGTTATATTGCTGTTAGGCGTAGACTTTTGCGTAGAACAGATCGCCAGTCAATTCATAATTGCAAAATAATTCCTACTTTGTTTTAGCCACTATATTGAGTGTTAAGTAAGCAACACTACATGTTGTCTAGTCCTGAGAACTAATAGAATCCTACCACATAAGTTCAAAATATGGTCAGCAAGCGCTGTATTTTGACTCATTTGAGTTGACTGGAGGATATCAGAGGAAAAACCTGTTTGACTGAGGTTTCTAAGCTAGTTGGTGATCCTTATCGAGACAGGTTAACTGATTCTTCACAAACTAATGAGTAGCTCAACAACAGCATATCTCATACCTATGCGAATTCCCGAGGTGGAGCCAATTCTCTTGGGGTTGCAGAAACGTTTTCCAGACAAGCCTAAGAAAATTGAAGATCTCAGGTTGGTGTCTGTGTGACAACCGAAATCGATGGTTGAATACTTTAGCCTAAGTAGCTAAAAAACGGCACCTGAATCTAATGTTGTAGCTTGTACTACCCGTTGCGCAAGAAGTGGTTATCGTGACTCAGTAGTCTAGTGAATAATGCTCAGACGTTTCTAGCGATCGGTCTCGAGTTCGAGTCTTAGTGGGAACGATATCGCTCAGTGGGAGGCAGATACATTCAAGCTGATGACCACCAAGTAGGACAAAACGCGCGTCCTGGATTCTACTGCTAGCCCCTGTCCATCATTGATATGAAACCTGGATCTATTTATTATCAGGTTCTGCTAGTGCTATAATATTAGGCATTAAATCGAGGTCAAAACGTTTTGTAGAAAAACAAACAATTAAGACTGGTTATTTAACAGATCCTACTAAGAAAACATATATTACAGATAATAACCAAACTAACTTGTCGAAGACATCCTTTTGGCAGTAGTTTAGCTAAAGCAAACAATGTCAGCGCAGCGTTTATATCTTCATCTAACGGTTGAACAACAATTTGATTCCCAACAGCTATATGTTGAACCATTCGACTAAATGCATTGACACCAAGCAGAGTAAACAATCTTGACAAAATCATTACAGAACTATCAAAATAGAAAGTGAGCAAAAACAACAAGAGAGAAAACTAGTCAATGTATCAATGAGACTAGTGAAACCATAAAAGTAGTGAAAAATAGTACTCATTAACCATAAATAAGTATTTTGACAATTACGAATGAAACAGCATTGTACATTACTGTTTGGAACTTCGGAGGACTGATTTCAAACAGATGATATATGTGACAGAGACAGAATCTCACACACAAGTGCATCGGTTCAAGTTGCCACACACTTCACAGTAGTATACAAAGAACCAGCGGAGAAGAAAAACTGATATCACAGTAGACAAAAGTGAATGGGAGGGGAAGGAAATTAAAAATGAAGCTTAGTCAAAACATTCAAGCTTTAGAAGAGATCAAGGAATGAATACATCTGCTTCATTGTGACCGATTTTCAGCCATTTTATACAGTTTTCAACCGATGATTCCTACCATTTTAGGCGTACCGCCCTAGTAAGGTAGTCTACATCTATCTACACGACTCAGACCAATAGTCAAGGATTTCCTCAACTGATGCCATGTTTTGGTTTGGCCACCCTGAACCCTCTTCCAGTCTAATCTAACTTCCCCCTAACATTTTACATCGAGATAGACGGTGGCTCGCCATGCAGAGTACATGTTCAAGTCAGTCAATGACGGTTCACAACCCCTGTTAAATCTCCGAATGGCTAACGTCATCATTCCACCAGATGCGAGCAACGATACGAAAACACCTGTGATCGAAACACTGTAGCCGTTTCATATCTTCTACTTTTAACGGTCATGCCTTAGCCGTATAACAGGATAGAACGGACAGCAGAGCACTATACTCTCTCCTTAATACTCATGGAAATTTATCCTAGTAAAGTCTTCGCACCAAATGCTTGAATTATCTTCCAAAGAGAGCTTTCAAAATTCATCATGTTTATGATGCAATTAATTCCAAAGTTACTTTGAGAAAAACTGGAGCGTAGCTACCAAATTACAGTTAATATAATTATAGTATAAAAGTTGAGAGAATGAAGATAGTCAAGACAGTGGTGATGACTAAAAGTTTTTACCTGCATACTGTTGTGACTTAGTTTGAATTGTGTCACCGAGAGTTAGTTAGTTAGTAACTTATCATTTGACTGTTTGAGATAGCTGTAGTTTGGCAGACTAGTATTTTATATTGGGTGATGATTGAAGGTGAGATGAAAATTTGGATCACGGCCGGATTCGAACCAGCGACCACCAGGTTGCGGTCCAAATTTTCATTTCACCTTCAATCATCACCCAGTATAAAATACTAGTCTGCCAAACTGCAGCTATCTCAGACAGTCAAATGATAAGTTACTATGATTGTTGGTTAGCTAGCTCTCGGTGACACAATTCAAACTAAGTCACAACAGTATGCAGGTAAAAACTTTTAGTCATCACCACTATCTTGACTATCTTCATTATCTCAACTTTTATACCATTTTGTTTACTTTAATATCACTCTTTTTCGATACAATGCCTCTTAGCACATTGTTGTGAAGTGTGACAACTTGAACTGATCTACTTTTGTACCATGTTCTGCGTTGATTTCCTCCATCTATCTGCCTCTAAGCTGATCACTCATCACTTGAAGAAAGTCAATCGACGTAATTGACACGATGAAATCAAAATACTGTTCAGTTTCTTTTGTTAATATGAAATGGTTAAATTGTTTACTATACACTGATTTATTCTCATGTACTACTGATTTGACCTATACAGTTAAGATAATAAAACACCAAGGTTAGAGAAATAAATTTCACGTGGAAATCATATCGAGTTATACTGTTTCTTCTGATTTCGAAATAGTTTGTTTCAATCATTGAAACGATTTCCAGTAGCGCATGTTCACCAATCCGTAAGACAGATAGATGGCACTAGAGAGATTGGCATTGTGATCGATTTTCAGCCATGTCACCAAGGTTCTCCAACCATGGACTCCTATCATCTCGGCGTCCCCACCAAACCAGACACTCTACATATGACTAACAGGCTCTGATCAGCAGTCAGAGACTTCATCGACTGGTGTCACGTCTTCTTCTGACCACCCTGAGCCCCCTTCAAACCTAATCCAACTTCCTATGGCGTTGCACGTCAAGCTAAATGGTGTCTCGGTATGCGCAACATATTTCCAACCAACTCAGTCCATGAAGGTTCAGCACCTCATCGAATTAATTGCCTAATATCATTGTCTAACTTCAACACTGCTCACACACTGATTTCACCATGCATGAGCAATGCTACCAAGACGCCTATGGTCAAAAACCTGTAGCCTTTCATATATCTTTTCAACGCCATGCCCCATAGTCATATGATAGGACAGAACACATTGGAGTTCAGAATATTAGTCACTTATAAGATAGTCACACATCTCGCCGGCGCCACAAATGATACAAGTAAGGAAATGCCAACCAGTCGTTCTGTATGCAAGCTGAAACTTCGTCAGCCACCAGTCCGTTCCGGATCATGCAACTTCCCAAGTAAGTGAGGTGGCCGATGCAATCAACCATTTAAACTCCCATTCCTAAAGTGGGAGTAGTTGTTGTCCTCCTAAACTCTAAAATAATGAATATTAAAGTATGAACTTTGGGTTACCATTTCAGTGTTTCATTTCTGTTTGATGCAAATTTTTTCATTTGTTCATCGACAAAGTGCTGTGTTAAAACGCTTTATGATAGAATTCATCACCGATAGCATCAGTTAGAGAACCATTGAAAACCTGTGAGCACTGGATAGTAGTGTTTCATCCTAGTGACTGACTTACATTTGACAAAATGAACGTGAAACCTTGCAAACAGGTGCATCGGCTCCAATTTCCACATTTCACAATAGTATACAAGGAACAGGTGGAGAAAAAGACTGAAATCAAAGTAGGCAAAGTTGTGTGAGAGGACAAACAATCTGAAAATAACGGTTACAGCAATATTCAAGCCTTAGAAGACAACAAAAAGTGAATATATCTGCGCCACTGTGACTGATCTTCATCCTCATAACTAAGAATCCACAACCACAGATTCCTTTCACCTCAGAGACTCCAGTCCAATAGCCTACATCTCCCAACACTACTCAGACCAACAGTCAGGGACTTCATTGACTAGTGTCATATCTACGCCTGGCCACCATGAAACCTCTACCAACCTAATTCAACTTCCCCTAGAATGGTCGAGCTGAAGTTCGTTCTGTTATCCGACTGACTGTGAGACATGACCGTTAAAAGAAGAAGACACGAAGTAGTTGCAGGGTTTTGATCACAGAAGTCTTCGTAGAATTGGTCGCGTTTGCCGGAATCACCGTGAGAGCAATGTTGAGGTCAAGCGAAGGGTACATAGTAAGATAGGCAAGTGGATTGATGAGGCTGTGAATATTAGTGCACTGAAGTGGTTCTAACATGTGCTGCGCATGCCAAGTCACCACCTACCTCGACGTACAATGCTAGGTGGGGCTGGATTACGCTGGGATACAGTTTGGGGTGGTCAGACCAAGACGCGGCACAAGTCTATGAAGTCCCTGACTGTTGGTGTGAACCGTGTAGGGAGATGTAGACTACCTCTCTGGTGTTGCCGAAACTATAGAAATCATTGGTTGTGAGGACTTTTGGTGACATGGCTGAAAATCGGTCACAATGGTGCAGGTGCATTCACTCCTTGATATCTTCTAATACTTGAATATTTGCACTAATCCTCATCTTCAGATTACTTATTGTCTCACACAACTTTGTCTACTTGATATCACTCTTTTTCTATCCACCTATTCTTTGTGTACTATTGTGAAGTGTCGCAAATTGAGATGTTGTATTTCTGTGTGAGGTTCTCGGTTGATTTCTTTAGCCAGTCAGTTCGTCGCCTAAAATGGCACATCGAGGTAGGCGATGACTCAGCATGCGCAACACATTTCAGAACCATTTCAGTTTACTAATATCTACAACCTGATAAATTCACTTGCCTATCTGCTTTGTACGCTTCGTCTGATCTCAGCATTGCTCACACGGTGATTCCACCATGCGTGACCAATGCTGCGAAGACACCTGTAGTCGAAACACTGTAACCGCTTCATGTCTTCTACTTTCAACGACTATGGTTCACAGCCGTATAACACGACAGAACAGACTGTAGCCCAGTATACTCACACACATTCCATCACTTCACACCCCATCATTAACCTAAGAGTGGTTGCAGACCAGTCGTGGAGCATCATCTTACATTTGACAGGTGCCAGCGAAACGCATATCTGTTAAACATACTCAGATTTCTGCTCAACGCATCTAGAGGACGCTGCATTTTGTCAGCGTTTTCACACAGCAAGATAATTACTTCCACATACTCTAAGTCAACAGGACGACCTTCAGGGAGTATGTTATTCAAATGAAATCGGAAGTATGTAAGGTTATATCGGTTAGTACATCTATGATGAAGTTAGAGAGGAACGATGAGGATAGACATCCTATGACTCCTCAACAGCGTGCGCCTATGACCTCTTGAGAAATCGAACATATAACCTTCAGGTTTCACGGCGAGCACGTTACTACTACTAAACTATTGGGTCAGAATCCGGTAGTTCACATTTTCCTACTTCTGTCAATAACTGATATAGAGCGGCGATTATCCAATGTCAAAGGCTAGTATCCGACTTAGTTGACCCTGTAGATCACAGTTTATCATTGAAATTTTGGCAAGCAGTGCTGGGGAATCCGGTACCAGGAAGAAACTGCTTCTCAATACTGTGAAGTTTTTGATGGTTCTTCAACTGATGTCAGTCTGTGATGAATACCATGTCAAATAAATTAGCTGATCCCTGCAAAATGAAAAACATTTTAATCTTGAACTATGAAAAAGTGGAAGATTTTAAAGATTTCTTTTAAATTCATCATCATCTATTTCAGTCAGAAGAAAAACATGAACTCTTTCGTAGAAAGGAGGAAGAAAAAAAAAACAGATAACAATTCTTACACACAATTCTCCATTTCACTTGATATACAACTCAAATCCAACATTTTTTTCGTGGTATTTAACATTTCAGATGATTCAGATGTATTGTTTGATGAAAAAACAGTGGATGATGATGCTTTCAACAATAAAGTGGAACTCTTTGGTTGACTAAGTTTTTGACCAGTTATATTCCTGTAGTATTACCAATATTAGTAGTATTTATTGAAGTCGATAGGATACATGATGAAAGCAAGTGTTCAACACCAGCTGCGATTAGCGCTTCATGTTCTTCTTGTGCAATTAATGAATCCTCATCTTCGGGTGGAGCAATAACCGGTGGGACTATATTCCATCGACGACCACCAGCTCGAAGTAACCATGTGAACCAGGCATGAATACGATAGAATATCTGAAATAAGTTAAAGAGGTCAAATAAATGATAAGTTAATCCCAATTAACAGTTAAATTATATTGGTATTAGATGGCTAGAGGCAATTGACAAGAAGCCTCGCTCAGTATACGTTCCATCCTTGTTGGTACTCATCAGATAGGTGTATCTGAAACCCTGAGAAAAATCATCTCCCCTCAGAGGTTTGAACCCTAGTCACCCAGTGCTGCAGTCATACACTTCACCACTGAGCCATTCGAGCTACGACTGACCTCCTATAGGAGTAGATTAGACACCATGATTGGTAACCACATAGCTCATATAGCTTGATCATGTGGTTGATAACGGCATATATGAACTCAACTGTCACATGATTATTGACTTTCTATAAGCTTAATAGTCGGGAAACGTTAATATAGGTGTAAAACTTGGGTGCTGTGGTAGGATTTAATCCCATATTAGATTTGTTTTTTTGATTTATAACACGCAGCGATCTAGTATTATTTACTTGATGACGATTCAAGCATAAATTATTGGTTTTAAATGTCGCCTTAGAACAACTGAAGTAACCAATCAGACTTTTATATTTGTGAAAATCTGCCTTTCCAGCCGAAATGGAGAAACCTAATTGGGGTGGCCTTTTAAGTCGCCCCTGAAAATACACGGACATGCCTATGCTTTCTCACACTTATGAGTCACCGACTAAAGTCAACGCAAGGCAAGAAATTCGCAACCATACTGACAGCGGTATTTCCTTTTTCTTAGAATACATTTACAGTCAGTGAGTCTTTCTTCTTCAAGGATACCAGCTATGTTGACGTGGTGGTCGGGCTTGAACGACACAGAGACCCAGCGAGATATGCTGGCGGGAACATTTCGTCCGTGAGGTCTTACGATACGAGGCAGGTATTCTGAACAAAAGAAAGTTCCCATTGGTATGCAAACATCTATAACGAGAGTTTCATGGCAAAGACGTACAACTGGATGGACAAGGTGTGACAGCAGTAAGAAGTTTTTCGCAGATGAAGAACAGCTCATGCTGATGGCGCCTATCCTATGGGAAAAGACTAACCCTGAAACAACACACTCCCTCCAGCAATACAGTGTCCCGATGCCAGTGGTATCCGTTCCCTCAAAACTCCAGAGAGTTCATGTGTGGCAAACCTTAAGGAGATATCTCTTGGGTTTTGTGGTCACGCAGGACTAATAAAACCTACTTTCTCCACCAGATACTTCAACAAGAATTAACCTAGTTCGGCGTGGGCAGTTAGGAAGTGCCAATCAGACCAATAACTCTGTCAGCACTGAGGTTTCCTCGCAACATTATCAACCCTGAACATCTTTCTCTTTAAATCCTTCTTCACGTCTCTCAGTCAATGCTCTTACTTCATCTTTAATTTCTCACAGCTATACGACTCTTGATGACGGTCTGAGTTCATGGAAAAGAACACCTGGCCCCATGAAACTGCACTTCAAATTACACATTGCGGCTTTTAATGTCTGTAACATCCGTGAAACTAACCATTAAGTTTCGTTGACGAAAACATTAAGATCTCAGGTCATGAGCCTATGATGTGCTTACGAACATGCATATAGGACGTCAGTGCGGCTACTCATTTAACCTCAACCAGCCAATACGGTGAATCTAGAAAACTCACCCTTCCAGCTTCCGAAAATTCGATGGCTAGTTCTCGCTCCACCTAACGAGGTTTCGGCAACCAGGTAGTATCATTAGCCCTCACATAACAAGCGCAGCTCGTCGTCTATTGAAAGAACAACCACAAGGCTACTGAGTGGATTTTAACTGCATTTCGATTCGATTGGATCACAGTTGACAGTTGCCAAAGCGCTTTTCGACTGAACGGCACAGTGAGGACTGAGAAGAATAGTGAAACTCGCAGTTATCTCTTTCTAATCTCTCCCTACGCACTCACTGACTGATTACAAGTGGGTGTGTACGCTAAGTCAGACAGAAAGGCACTTAGCTTACACTTTCAGAATCCAAGCCACACGAAGAGATAACGGTGATCGCGTGCTGTAACTGTGCTCAGACAATCATCAACTTCCAGTCAACGTGAATTTCAGATACAAAGAAATACATCATCTGACATTATGTCCACCAACCTTAACTCAGCGGTGCACATAGGTAGATCATATTGCCATCAGTTATCGATAGAGGGTCAGTGGAAGACAACAGCCACCAATGAAGCATGAGTGCGGACCGTAACTGACTCTCAAAAAGGGTCAGTTGATCTGAGTGCCTGAATTAATAGATGCATGCGAATGTATTTCTGCAAGCTCTGAGTACAATGAGAAGAGAAAGTTAGTCAAATTTAAACCGATAAGAAGTCTACCCAATGACAACAAGCAATGGTGGGTGGTGAAGGCTACAGACGGAAAGGCAGATAGATAAAATCACTGTAGAGCATCGTATACAAGTGCATCATTTCACGTTGCTATACTTCACAGCAAAATGTAAAAGATAAATGGATACAAATAGACTGATATCAAAGTCGAAAAAAGTGAGTGGTAAGAGAAGGAATTTAAAAATAAACGTAATCGAAATATTTATGAGTTGGAAGACGTCAAGCAGAGAATACATCAGCACTGTTTTGACCAATTTTCAGCCATGTCACCAAGAGCTCTAAACCACTGGCTCCTACCTTCTCGAGGACTCCAACCAGACAGTTTACACCTCCCTAGTCGCCTACGACCAATTGTCACAGACTTTATGCACTAGTGTCATATCTTTTTGTGACCACTCTGAGCCTCCGTCCGATCTAATACAACTTCCTTCTGAAGTTTGTGATGATGATGATGTCTAGAACGACAAAGAAAGCTTCATGATTAAACCATTCAACTAAGAGAACATAACACCAAAATAATACAACTGACCTTAGCATTTCACAACGAGGTAAACGCTGTCTCGGCATGCGCGACACATGTCCAAACCACCTCAGTCGATGAAAATTCACCAGCTGACCAGTCGTCTTGCCTGTCTTGGCCAGTACCCTTCGATTAATCTCTATAATGCAAGCATTATGATTTCACCATAAGAGAGCGATGCGACGAGGACACTTATGGTAGAAAACTTCGAACGGTCGTTGCTCACAGACGTATAACATGACAAAACGGACTACAGCGCGGTATACTCTACCTTAATAGGTCAGTGTGTCAAATATCAAATATATTTTGTCAGCGTCTTCACCCAGCAGAACGATATCGTCTGTATACTCTACGTCAACCATATGCCCTTCAAGGAGAAGACCAATGCCTGTGAATTCATGGTTATGTCCATTAACACACAGATAAAGAAATTAAACAGGAACGGAGACAGTGAGTACACTTGATGGACACAACTAGGTATCTTCAATTCAAAAGAAAACCATCCATAAGCCCTAATATGGCTGTATGAGACCCACCAGCCCAGGGCTTTTATTCGCATTACACACTTCCTCGGTACTCCCTTTACAGTCAGCTACTACAACAGTGCCTCAAGGTCGACAGAGTCAAAACCTGCCTTCAGGTCAAGAAATATGGCAAGTGTAACACCAGTGAGCGTGCCTGAGTACAACAGCTTGTCGAAGGGTAAAAATATCATCATCGCAGCCTCAAAGCGGACTGAAACCTGTCTGGTTTTCTTGAGTTTGCTGTTCTCGAGCTCCAATTAGGCGTCAAATAACTATGGACCATAGGATCCTGGATACAATATTAGTCAAGCTGATTTCCCAATCGTTGCCACATAAAGACTTCTCTCCCTCCTTACATACTGAGAGGATGAGTGAAGTAGACCAGTCTGACGGCACTACCTCCGTCATTTTAATTAGCGACTTTCTACCCCCATCCTTGGAAACTTCAAATGGTAATCCGTCAGGTCCTGCTGCTTTGGATCGCTTCAGGTTCGATACAGCTTTCTCAACTTCAAGAAGAGTTGCAAGACCGACGTCTATGAGCCATTCATGTTCCGGTTGGATGTTGGGCGACTGAAACGTTGCTAAGGGCCCCTTGAAGTGTGTTTCAAAGTGTTCAGCGCAACGTGATAGCCGCCTGTCCTAAGAGGTTATAAGCGTCTCATCCTATTCGGTGATGACTTCACCAAACGTCGTTTTCTTCTTCCCAGGATCCTCAATAAGCCAAAATCGTTGGGGAGTGTTACACCTAATGCCGGTGCCCTCTCCATCTCCCTCGCTTCTGCCACTCACCGCTGTTCGCCACCGACGCAAAGATTCGTGATCACAGTCAGCTGAAATGAGTCTTCTCAGGTCAATCAGTTCAGATGACGTCACGGAGATCCAATGACGTTTTTAAACCCTCCAATGAAGGTTGCTAGTTGTCTTAACCACTGTTTGCAACACCACGCTTAGTATCACACCAGGTTTGTTCAGGATAACCATTGTTGTCTTTTTCAGATAAATGCTTAGTTAATTACTCTCTGAATGTGACTTTCGCATCCACATCTTCCAATATGGAATAGTCAGGCTTTACCATCACCTAAGGGCACTAGGGTACAGACATCACGTGCCCGTATTACCGCATAATCAGTGTCCAAACCGGTACCCAACGAAGAGCAGCAATCCTCCACTGATCCTCTTCAACGATACGCTATACTAACATGTTCTCTCTGTGGCCATCGTCGGTTTGATGTCAGCGGAGCCAATGTGAGACATTTCCTCTGCTTATGTTTCAAGTCACCGCTGGCTAGAAATAATTGATTGTCGGGACAAAGTGCAACGGTAGATCACTGTTGTCGGTTCGTTGGCATGGGATTCAGTAAATACCACCATCTTGCCTTTCCGACTAGCTCAGTTTTCTTACTTGAGCGTGAAATTCACCTGTCATTATCATTACATCTAAGCATTTCGCTTTCTGTAGCAAAGTTGACAGTTTCTCACAGAACTCATCCTTAGTATCATCTAAACTGCAGTCGGTGGGTGAGTAGCCGAAGATTACTAATAGGCTAAGGTTGGTCTCACCATACTTTCTAGTCCTTATATATTCATTCAATCGAGCAGTTCATAAAC